ATATATATAATACTGGTGACACTGGCAAGGACCACGTGACGACCTATTAGTTATTGGCCCAAACTCAGAGTGCGCTGTTCAATGTCGTCTACGGTCAGATCTCCCGACTAGCAGTCCATNTTTATATAGTCAAAGCATATATGGGCTTCACCTTTTTTCGACAACGCTCCCTCCTTTATCTCCATGGCAGCCATGGTCTTTTGCGCCAAAGAATATCCCTAAAGGTTAGTAACTAATATATTTCTTGTGCTTGTTAATTTTTATTTCAAAATTAGAAAGTAAAATGATCTTTTATTGTAAATAATTAAACAATTAAATAATTAGATATTGTTAGTATGTATAAATTATTTGAAATATATATAGTAATATCTTCTGTCTATATGTTGTCCATTCACATTTACAAGTTGCTATAAGTTATAATTAATAAATTTTTTAAGATATAAAATCTATGACTTTTTTGGTATCATAACAAATTATTATACATAATAAGTATAAAGTTTATAATTATTATCAATAAAAAAAAGATTATTTTTTGTATTGTAATATTTCGTTATACTTACCTCCATTGTAATGCGTCTCATTCGGAAATGTACATGAAAATCGCACAAAGACTATTGTGGAACTGTTACTTCAAAATAATTTTCATTACAATAATGCACAGATTTATAATTAATTAAAATATTTTCTTCTTCTTTACATAAATTTTCACAATGAAGGATAATTTGCATAATATTATCATTTTCACTTTCATTTTCTAAAAGTATCATACCAATACGTCTTTGCATTATTACAAATTATATATATTACTATTATTTAGTAACACAACTTTTAACTTTACTTTCTTCTTATATTTCTATAGCTGCATTCCGATATTTACTGTCAGTACTAAAAATCTATATTTTACGTCAAATGTGCTATAGATTTCTAGCACTGGGAGTAAATATCGAAACGCAGTTTATGTCACGTGATACAAATGACGTAAAACAAACTGAGCATATATCCAGTAAATGGGTGCGTTCAACTCAACGGTTGAGAGATCATCATTTATAATAGGACTATTCTTCAAAATCTGATGCGGTTCCAAAAGTATGATCCAATCAGAAGTGATTATCTCTCAACTGTTGTGCAACTGTCGAGTTGTCTGAACGCACCCAATCAAAAAGCGCTTACTGAGCGGCTACTTGTGAGCGCTCACTAAGCGCTCACTGAGCGGTTGTGCTTCTGGATGCACCCAGTGTCGCCTATGTATGGGTGCTTTCCAACTACGTACATAGGCGACACAGTGTCCATTAGTGTGAGAAAGAGCATATCAGTATGTCTCACTCACATTAGTGGACACAGTGTTACACAAGCTGCGGTCCGTTTCGTGCTTAATCGCGCATTTATCTGTAGTATATGTCACGTATACTATAGATAAATATACGCTTAAGCATGAAACGGACCTCAGCCACAGTGTCGCCTGTGTACGTAGTTGGAAAGCACCCATTACAACATTGAGTTGAATTGGATGGCTTATGGCGTATGGACTAGCTCTAACCGGTCCAGGAGCCATACACGCACCAAACCTTGAATTGGATGGCTGCTCTCAAGCTTTTCTCTGCACAAATGAATTTCGCATTTCGAATTTCATACTTACTTGTCAAGAATAAATAGGTAACAAAGAATAAATAGGTGAATAAATAGGTAACAATATACATATATTTTCTGAAGACAATTGAAGAAATATGTTAATTTGCTCGTTATTTGTTCGTTATGTTTTATGCATGTAAAAACTTATGTTTATCTCTTTCGGGAAAACAAGACTTTAAAATATTGAAAACAATTTTTCAATATTTAGATCACGTACTATAAACAGGTTAGAAATCAAATATTAGTTTATACCTAGATCATATACGTTCATACATATTCTATCCATAGAATATGTATTACCTAAACATTTTATTTTTCTATAAAAATTATAGAATGTTGTGGATATTTTTCTAAGTGCAAATATTGTCTGAATATTTATTATTTTAATTATAGAAATTGTTAATAGACGTTTGAAGTCGTATATGCAAAACGATTTTTTGTTTTGTGTATACAGCTGAATTCGGAGAACGTGTTCTCAGACATGTATTGCGTATATATAAAATAATATGACCATACATGTACGAGTTGTTCGATTACGTGCGTCGAGGCGAGCAAGCTGCGAAATTTGCAAGTCATTCGTGTCATCTACGGTCACGATTGCTGTTTCAGCGTCGAGTTTTGTAGGAATGAAGTCGGGCCAACAAATTCTTTTGTATTTGTGTGCAGATCCTTTATAAAAGAAAAATGTTTTGCATTATTCTATTATAGCATAAAATTTATAATGTACTGATACTAGTATAAAACATATAGAGCTTGTTTTGAAATTTTCAAAATAGATATTTTCTTATGAGACTTTTCAAAAAGAACATTTTTCTTCCACTTTGCAATTGCAATTGCATTGCTTTTTATGCGATAATAACGCATTTTACAAAAACAATTGAAAATGTGCATTCTTGCCAAATTGAGTTTTTGAAATATATTAAGCTTTAATTACTACATATTTTAATAAAAAACATTTTATTTTAATTAAATAACATGGCCGACAGATACATGTAACAAAGCTAATTTAAGATGCTTATTTTTACATGTCATCATGATTTGTCGACATGTGCGTCGTTTGTGGATATCTTCCGAATACCACTAATTTAGTCGTTTGTTATGAAAAAATCGCTACGTCGCTCTCTCGTACTGCTATCGGTATATGTACGTACAAAGGTACACGGCATATCTACGGTACAAATCGTGACGAAGCGCTCTCGCAGCTCGACGCGGCAGCGACGGCGACAGCCGCGACGAACGAGAGTTTCGCGTTCGCTGCCGCTGTTCAGAGTCGTTTGTACTCTAGTTGTAGCTGGCTGTCTATAATAGACAAGTGGGTGAAGCACGTGCGTATGCAAATCGTTCGTTCGCGCGTATATCGTTCGTTAGAGACACTTACGTTTGTTTAGCTAATACGAACGAGCAAATAAGCAAGTGAATACACGACTTGCTCGGTGACGCCGCGCATCTATCTGAACAGGGCCAGGCAGCTCGAGGTGGAGGATGCCTGCGTCATCGTCTATCAACAGCGAGATCAATCGCGACGGCAAAACATGATCGCTGTTTTATCCGTTTTCTCGTTCTTCCGATTCGCTTTCGTGCCAGTGACTTCTCAGCGTTAGTAAATTGTCCGCGTTTTGGCAAGCCGGGTAAGTGTCATACGCGTGCACGGATTCTGCCCACGTACGCGTGCTCCAGGATGATGACGAGAACAGGGGATGACAATGACGTCGCGAAACGTCGATAGAAACGTTTTTCGATAGTCACGTGCAACGCGATATGATGCGCAACTCGCGTTGCGTGATTATTACTATTATTACACACTGCAGTATGTAGCTCTCTCGGTATAATATCATGGGTTTTTCGCGGATGGAGATTACATCTCGATGTGCTGCGGTAGACTTGACCGCGACAGATATTTTCCGGGAATATAAACCAGATATATATATGTATATATATATACACATGTCATTGCTTAGCTTTATGTGATGCAGCTGTGATATATATGTATATATATATATATACATATATATGTATGTATGTATATGTATATATATAATAGTATATGTCTATGTATATATATAATAGTTACATGTGATAGTGTCAATTTCGAAAAACAATAGATTCTTTCCATTAGTGACTCAAGTTAACACAGTCCCAAATAATAGAAAGCATTCAATGCAATGACAGGATATGTAATAAATATATTTTTTTTCTTGTCACTTCACAGCTTACTTTAATGGATGGAGAGAAAGATTATCAGCAGAAGAAAAGGCCACGGGGTGCCTTTCAATCTCAAAACAATGCGTCAGGTTCATCCCCTATACCAGAGGATGAAACTGATTTGGAGGATATATTCAATACAGAAAGGCATAAAGGTGATCTCGGCGACATGACATTCTGTATGGCAAACTATCTGAAGGAAGCTATGAAGATGATGTTTATGATGCGAAGTCATCATATGCTGACTGATGTGATACTTGAAGTCGATTCCGAACTATTTCATGCGCATAAAGTTATCTTAGCAGCAGCTAGTCCCTATTTTAAGGTATGTTTGTATTAAAATTATTCATTCAGTGCTTGATGTATTCTCCTTCACAAAGAAATACTTAAAATTAAAAAAATACATAATGTTAATTATATTATTCCAGGCAATGTTTACTGGAGGATTAAAAGAAAGTGAGATGACAAGAGTAAAGCTCCAAGGTGTTTGCCCAACAACGATGGCTCGTTTAATGTACTTCATGTATACTGGTCAAATAAGAGTGACTGAGATTACAGTGTGTTCTCTGTTGTCAGCGGCTACCATGTTTCAAGTATGTAAATGCACAGTTGTTGAAAGAAATTGACTCGTCAACTTTTATATTTTTGTAAGTAAATATGTTTCAATACAGGTAAGCAATGTGATAGATGCGTGTTGCACTTTTCTGGAAAGACAACTGGACCCCACAAACGCAATCGGCATTGCCAATTTCGCCGAGCAACACGGTTGCCACGATTTGTATCATAAAGCAAACGAATTTATTGTTCAACACTTTAATCAAATATGTCAAGAAGAAGAATTCTTGCAATTGTCCGCTTTACAACTAATAACACTTGTACGTAAGGACGAACTAAACGTGCAGGAGGAGCGAGAAGTATACAACGCCGTTCTGAAGTGGGTCAAGTACAACGAAGAAGCGAGACGACCCAAGATGGAGCACATACTACACGCTGTTCGTTGTCAATATCTCACGCCAAACTTCTTGCGGGAACAAATGAAAAATTGCGACGTGTTGAAGAAGGTGCCAGCTTGTCGCGAGTACTTGGCGCAGATCTTCAAGGACTTAACATTGCATAAAAAGCCAATTGTAAAGGAACGCACGCCTAATACACCGCGTGTGATATATATCGCCGGTGGTTTCTTCAAGAACTCGCTCGACGTGCTGGAGGGCTACAACGCCGATGACAAAACATGGACGCAGCACGCCAAGCTGATTGTTCCTAGGTCTGGTCTAGGTGGTGCGTTCCTCAAAGGAATGTTCTACGCAGTCGGTGGCAGACACAATTCACCAGGAAGCAGGTTAGCGTTTCGACGCCAACCGTGTGCTGACGTTCCAAATAGACAAATGTAAAATATAGTTATCATAAATAGTAGAAAAGATATTATTAACAAATTCTGCACGAGTTATTACTGCAAACGCTAAAACTTGATACGACTTAAGAATAAAGTTCAAAAAGAATTACACGACTTTTTTTTTTTTTTATAGATACGATAGTGACTGGGTCGATAAGTACAATCCGGTGACAGATCAATGGCGACCTTGTAGCCCAATGTCGGTACCAAGAAATAGAGTAGGAGTCGCTGTAATGGACTGTCTGTTGTACGCAGTGGGTGGCAGTGCAGGTGCTGAGTACCATAACAGCGTCGAATGTTACGATCCGGATCATGACACATGGACCAATGTGAAACCAATGCACATTAAAAGATTAGGCGTAGGAGTGGCAGTAGTAAATAGGTATTAAAAAATATCGGCATTTTTCAAATACGTATACAATTTCAAGTTCTACGATTTAGTTTGGTTTTCTCGAAATACTGCTTCTATTTATTGAGAAAAATGAGCTCATAATGCATTCGATATTTGCGCACATTGCTTATTATATTTTATATAAAAGATATAATCATTTTCAACAGATTACTTTATGCAATTGGCGGTTTTGACGGCAAAGACCGACTAACCTCAGTAGAATGCTATCATCCGGAAAATGATGAATGGACGATGGTGTCGCCTATGAAGTATTGTCGTTCTGGGGCTGGAGTGGCCAGTCTAGGTCAATATATATATGTTATAGGCGGATATGATGGAAAATCGCAATTGAACGTAGTAGAAAGGTACGACACGGAACGAGATATCTGGGAAAACGTCAACAACGTAAGCATTGCTCGTAGTGCGCTCAGTGTCACCGTTCTCGACGGCAAATTATACGCAATGGGTAAATGCAATTTGTACTTCTACTGATATTTATAAATTATTTGAAAAAGCTATGTAAAAAAATGCATATAATTTTTCTATCAGGAGGATACGATGGCAGGTCATTTTTAAGTATTGTAGAAATCTATGATCCAGTTCAAGATCAGTGGACCGAATCTGTGCCTATGACGTCAGGAAGATCCGGCCACGCTAGTGCAGTATCATACTATCAGTGTCCTATACACTGTGATCATTTAGATCACAATAATATTTCCTTAGAAAAACCGCCGTCGTGATACGAAATACTTTATAAATAACTTTCAGACTAGTTAAATGCGTCAGATGTGACGTAGTTCTTTGATTCTCGAGAAAACTGCAATACAAAATGGAAAATGCAATAATGATGGATATATAACTGAGATATTCACAGGTAATTTATCTGAAACTCAATTGAAGAAATATATTACAAAACAGTTAGATGATACACGTGTCATCGAACCGGACCAAGTTTGTTGGCTAATGGCCAGTTGTTTTTGACCGGAACACGGTTAAGTAACTTTTATTTATCGTGATCTTTAGATTTATTGAAGGACCAATTTATTTTATATTCTTTAAAAAAATGCGACTGTAATATAATTTTATATAGCTTTATCTCTTTTTAATTAAAAATGACTGTAATTAATTCTTGTATGTATATAAATGCGTAATGTATATACTCTTACACATTCGAAGAAGATATTTTCAAAAAACCTTGCGAATATTTTTCTGCCAGCATTTAATAACTTTATATAAATTGAGTTGCTATCTTTTTTTTGCCACTTACACTGTGTTATCGTCATAATTTATTTTTGCTGTGTCTTAATGAAAAGATTGACAAAGCAACAAACTGCATCAAAATTAATACTAAGAATAAAAATAATGGAATATAAATACGGTCATAAAAGCCGTTCGTTGTGCGGAAATATGCGGATATATATATGTATAGGTGTCCACATGTAAATTTTTATACATGAATATTTTAAATTGAAATTTAAATTCTTAAAATCATATATCAGGATGATTTGCATCACATATATGAGAGATCCCGTATATCCCCCTAACTAATTTTAAAATATTGCAAAAAAAACTCCTCAGCCAGAAGACGAACCTGGAATCTCCGGCTTTCCGTTGCCTTCCCTAGTCAGTTACCGAGGCACTTAGAGCTTGTCTCGCAATATTCGTATATTATATCGAAGATAGTCTGATAAGTTAATAACGCCCTTCTTCCACCAACGTGATTTTAACAATTAATAAAGAATCCTATCCTATATTTCCGCACAACATCCTGCGAACGGCTCTTATGACCGTATTTATATTTCCTCAGTTTAGAAACTTTCAGAGCCTAAGGATTCTTTATTAATAAAAATAATCTTAAGAAAGGTAAGTCTTACATGCACAGCTATCGAAGCAGCTTCCTTACCTATTCAACAAAAATGCAAATCCAGCACAAGTTACGAAAATGCAAATTGACGAAACAACATATTCCGAAGCCTCGAGAGATTTCTGTTGCATTTTTGCGCTCCACAATACTTGACGGAACGCCATAAGATAATTGTCACGTCGCAGTGTAGGAATAAATAAAGGAAATATGATGGTCATGTCTATAGTTTTAGTAAAGGAAAATAGAAAACAGCGCTTAATTGTATACGTTAAATTATTGCTTAATGTCGTGATGTTTATTTAGAAACTTCTATGCTCCTTTACAATAGTACGTTAAGCGTCCTAAAATTATTATATCTATCTAAAGACGCGCTACACACTTTCATTGTGCGATGATTACAGAACAAATATCAAGAAACAGAATGAAGAAAGAAGAGTATCATCCCATGTCGTCGTAGTGTATGATGTATTAAATATAAAGACCGGAAATACAAATGAGAATAATAGATTTCTGACTATAATTAACAAACAGGAATTCTTCGAAATAGCTTGAAATACAAAAGTCATTTATTTCTGCTTATAAAGAAGACAGTGTATGCGATATTGGGACGAAAAATAGAAATTACGACAAGTAGAAATAGACGGCGTACAAAAAGCAGTCGAAATTACAATTTCGTATCGTTATCAATAATTTCGATTTATCGCTAATACAAACGGATAGAAAATGAATTTTCAAAGTGTGAATATTTTGAACAGTCGAGCAAATATGATCTCTGGCAATTTGTTACCAATGACAGCCGATGATTCGCCGTTTCCAATGATCTGGCGCATATACAGTGGTTTTGTCTGGTTAATACAATTGATCCAGACGATCGCGTTGATAATTGGTGTTATGGTAGTGCCAAAAGAAAAAGCTATAAAGGACGGGACAATTTGCATTGTGGTCACCATAGAAGCGATTATCATGCTCATACCTCTCTACATGCGTAAGAAGTTGATGAGACAGATTATCGAGGAGATGAACGACATCCTGCGAACCGCGGATGACATTATGGAGGACAACGTAAAATCGGTCCTGAAACCAATAATGGTACCGTTTGTAATGTACGGGATGATTGGCGTGATATCCATTACTCTCTGGACCATAACGCCAATTTTGTTAATTTTCGAAAAGAATATCTTTTTCTACGTGGACTACAATCTGCCGACCGCTTTCAGTACTGAACCGTTCTCATTTAGCATCTTGTTCTGGTCAACCGTTCTTATGACAGTTGGTAGTGTGTATCTGTTTCTGAAAAAATTCAGTTTAGACGTGTACATGATGCATCTGGTGTTGCTGCTAACAGCGCAATATCGCTACGCGGCGGTGAAACTTATGATGTTATTTCGAGATCCGCTCGATAATGACAAATCTCGAGAAAAACACTTTTTTACATCAAATCTATGGGCAGAAAAAGAATTACAATCATTATGTCGATATCAAAATAATGTTTTACGGTAAGCACAGTGAAATATGACACAGAAGCCGCGATGATGAGAATAATAAAAAATGACACTTTTAAAATGATCAAGATTTTCATTTTTGAAAATTTATATTTATTTATTTTTTTAATTAAACACAGCTCTGCTTTAAAAGCGCTATTAAAGTAATAGCGCTAATAAATGTTTCCTAAATTTTCACGAAACCTTGATTGATGCTCTCTCTCTTGATGGAGTATCAATTATTTGATATATTTTATAGTTAATAGCATTTAATATGTTTCAGCATATCATTCATGTTAAGGAAGCTTTTATCTGTAAACTTTAGCTTTCTCTATTTAAATAACGTTTTTCGCTTCTGCTTTATAGGTGTCTTGATGAGTACAGTAAGTGATAAATATGACTGAATCTTGGAACGTTCTTGAAGCAATTTTTTAAAAATTGCAGAATTTGTATAGCCGTAGTATATGAAAATAGAAATGAAGCAAATCGATGTTTAAAAAATTGTTTCAAGAAAGGAGCACTTTTTTGACATCGTTTGAAATTGAAACTAGTAAAAATTAAAGTTAATTTTATAAAAAATACTTTAAATTAAAGAGGATAGAACTTATACATAAATATGTATAAGTTTTGATTTTCAGTGTTTTTTTTTTCACTTAAACTTTCTTATATATTTCTGTGCTGTTCTGCTCAGGTACCATCAATGACTTTTATGGAAGGAATATCGGTCACATCGTATGCAATGGGTTCAGTAACGCAATTCTTTTTATTGTGTTCCTCTGTACAAACGTTGTCAGACGCGGTAAGATTTGTTCTTAGCTATATGTCACAAAATTGTTTTTCTTTTAAGAATAAATTATTAATATAAAACTTTACATCTCACATATTTTTTTTTTTTCATACAATGTAGAGTACAAAAATGACAGATAGAGCATTTGAAGAAGGCTGGTATCAATTTGGAACGTCATTGAAACGTACATTTATATTACTCATAATGGCAAATAATCTAGAATGTAAACTTACGGCAGTTGAGAAATTCAATCTGTCTTTGCCTTCATTCATGACGGTAAAATTTATTCCTGAATTATTGCTTATATGTCATGAAATAATTAACATTCTGAAAATTTTTATTAATTTCTAATATATTCTAGATTATGAATCAATCATATTCGATCGCTCTTCTGTTTTTAAGAGCAAAGTAAAAAAACCTTACGCATTCTTACTTCTATATGGAAGAAATAAGTATCATAGAATTTAAAGAAATTTTTTAATTCGATTTTCAAAAACCATAAATATATTTTATAAGATAATTTTATATATTTATTATAGGAAAGTTAGAGAAATATGAATGTGTAATCGATAGTTAATATAATTGATAAACACTCAAAAAAAAGTTTTTTACACATAGACATTCTATAGCTGGTGAAGTATAATTTAATATAATTAAAAATAATAATGATATATGAGATCGTCTCAATTTCATATATAATTGTATAAAACTATATATAACTATACATATATAACTAGATATAAAATTTATTCATGAAACTTTTTTTCCAAGCTTATAATATAAAGAGTGTTAAAATGTTATGATGTGTATGTATCTGAAAGTGTATTTCAAATATATACTTAAAATATTATAAAATAAATATTACGTTTAAATTATATATATATATATATATATATATTTTTTTTTTCTGTTGTAAATTAGAATTTAGTGGCCTTAAAAGATTAAGGATGTTTTATATGTACAATCGTAGCAAAAAGTAGTTGAAATTCGATTTTCGAATATATGCTTTTCTTGTGTAGATTGAGTAATAAAAATTACGCAGAATCTTATCATCAGGGAGTTCAAACTCGCCATATTTTTTGGCTCCGGAAGTTTTAGTAGTTCATTTCGGAGGTTGCCTGGGCCAGGCGGCAGCACAGTCGGTTCCCCTCTCTTCCTCTCTTCTCTCCAGAGATGCCAGTTCGCGGACTTTTGCAGCATGCAGCAGCAGG